CTGCGAGTGGCTATAGGTGTAGCTCTTTTCAACAACCCAAGTGGGGTCAACTCATCCTTTTACCCTCTTACCGTCTTCCCTGTTTTACCCTTGAGGGGGGCACTTCTAAGGTTACTTACCCTTGGGGGTGTTCCCCTATTTGCCTGCCACCTCTCTTGCCTCTCCCTCTAAAGATGGACTCGGCCCCACATACACATTTTTGTGTTACAGTCATTGATGGACTCTATTTTTTTATTATTACTTGGACCTTGGTCGTTTTTATACTAGCAAAATGTCTTGTTTTAATTTGTGTTTTTTGGGGGAGGGAGGGAGTGAATTTGCTGATTCTGTAGCAAAACCTGGATTTTAAAGGATATTCGTTTAGGATTTTTCGTGTTAATTACTGATGTGTACTTAAACTTTTAAGAGGTCCTTTCTTTAAAACATTTTTCTAATTGTTTTTATCCCTCTCTTATGCTAGTGACATGTTGAATTTTATCCCTTATAGGAAAAAGTTTTGAAATGGTGGATGTTGCTTTTAAAAATCTTTTTTAAGTTTTTGTGCGTCCATCTCTTGTATTAAGCAGTTTGCATATCTTGATCGGTCACTTTCTATGAGAATTTACTTCAAAAATATGTACTGTGTAGCTCTAACAATAGTTTGTGTTAAGCATGTGTTTTCATTCATATGAAGTGTTTAAAATTTTTCAGATAGCCTAGTTTCATCCTTTTTATTGGTGTCTGTAATGAACGGTTAAAAACAAGGGTTATATTTTACCCTCACTAAATGCATTTTTGTATTTTCAGAGCAGATTTAAACATGTTTTTTTTTTTTTCCTTCTATCTGAACTGTTGTCCTCATGGAAATCCTCTCAACCTTTGTAGCACCATCTACTGGCAGAATGACAGTATAGCTGCATAACAAATTTGTATAAAAACTTGTTTGGGACAATAGTATCAGATGTAGAAGTTTACCATCAATAATCTGTGCTGACTGGAAAGTTACAAATAAACGGGTAACTGAGATGGGCTTCACAGGAATGTAGTTACCAGTTCATATCACAACTGCTACATTTCATACTTCTACATGAGATTTGAAATGTAAATTGCTGTGCATAGCTTGGGCAAGACCCAATTGCTTTGATGGCTAATGAGCCAGTTACTGTACTGGTATCATAGGTGCAAGTGTAAAGCAGATTATCTGTGTCTTCTGCTTGGTTAAGAAATGTATGTTTGTAGCCCTTTCATGAAATAAAACTCAAGTTGTCGTTTATTAAAAAAAACAAAAAAAACTGATAATAGGAGAAAATTGCCTTCCTGAATAGAAATATAGAATAACAACATTTATGGATATCACAAATAAAGAATTCAATTCTTTACATGATTGAGTGAGAGTATGTATAACCTGGCGGGTGGTTTCAGAGTACCTACTAATCTAGCGTAATTGGTTTAATGTTCTGATTTACATCTTTAAGTTAAAAGCCTAACGGTATACACAGAAGTTTTCTGAAAGGGAGGTTATTGGACTTTAATGTAAAAGAATATTTTAATATTAATCCTTTTATTTTTGGTTCTTGTCATTGTGTAATTGACATAATTTAATTGACATTTAATTCTACAGTTTTTCCTAATTATTAAGGTTCTACTTGTAAATTGTGAAAAGGGTCAAAACTGCTAGGCTAGGTTATATCTGCTCAGTAATCACTTTGACAGTATACCCATTGCTTGGTACAAATACTTAAATATACTTCTATGATAAATGGAATAAACATGTTTGTACATTGTGTGAAATAACAAACACAGGAGTCAAATTTTGGCTCTCAAATAGTTACACAGTTTTCTAAAGTGTGTTGTGATTTTTACTTTAAGTGATTACACATCATACTTCATCTGTACTACTTGGTAATTTTGGTTCAGTATTTTCTGGCCATTTAGTACAGAAAATGGTTCACTTAAATTTTTCATTATAATTGTTGAATACTATTCTACTTGACTTTTACTCAGTTTTGCTGGAAAGATCTATTTCTTCTGGGTCACTTGGAATAGTCTGTCTTTGGGAGGGTTTTTAAATTAGTAAGGTAATTGTAATAATTTTTATCATAATATAGTGAGTGATAAAAAGTTGACAGATTATGTAAAAGTATTTCCTATTACTTAGAAAAGCAAGCTGTTTTGTTTGATATATTGTCATGTGTCTATCCTTATATTTATGTAATCTGAACTAATATTTTGTGAAAGAAAAAGCACAGTGGTAATTCTCTTTCTTGGGTTTCTCTTGTTTTTGTCCACACCTTTTTTTTTTTTTAATTTGGAGAGGTTTTTGCTATAGGGCGTGTGCACTTGTCCACAAATATTTTATGTGTGACTTTTTTAAGGGGGGAGAGGAACACCTAATTGTATGTTTTGACTCCTTAAACCCATGAGAGTTGTCTGAACATTATTTCTTAAAATTTAATAATTCATGGGAAGAAATGATACAGAGCTAGTCAGTATTGGGTAGTTTTTTGCCATGCTTGAATTTAATTTGAATGATTAGCAAAATACCCCATTTTTTAATCTCCCTTAATATGAAGATCTTTTGCATTTACAATATTGTAAATTTAATGATAATTGTTAGTTGGAAGTTTGAAAGGTCTTTAAAAATCATAGTATTTTAAAATCTTTTGAAAAGATTGTAAATGCTTAAGGTTTGCAGTGGTAACTATCAAATGAGAATGAATATACTGATTGTTTCTTTCTATAACTGATTTAGAACTATATTTCATAGTTAATTTCTAATTAGAATGCATTCTGTGTTTTTAAGCATTGTTAAATTATTGAGGATACTTGAAAATTTAACACTTAATGATTATTTCCCTCAAAACAGGAAGTAACAGTGTCAGTTACTTGATTTACAGGCTTGTTTATTTAAATCTTTTAAGTGTGCTTGCTTAAATTTCTCAAATTTTGAGAATTTGCATTTTAGGTTAAATTTTGCATGCCTGTTTCTTGGCTGATTGAAAGTGGGCGTTTAGGTGTTGGATTACTTTGAGCATAATTGCTTCTTGTCATTGTACGGATTCTACCCAAAAAGACATTTACACTTAAGGTAAGTCTCTTCCATTTTAACCACCTTACTGAATCATTGTTAAAAGTTTTATTATTTGGAAACAATTCTTTGTCTCAGCTCTCTTTCCTTTTTGAAACAGCAACAAAAACCCTAAAATCAGGATAGGATGCTTTTTCCTTTAGTGTATTATTGCAGGTTATTTTGTGCCTTGTCTTTTGCTTTCTATTAAAAGTTCACTTTTTTTTTTTTTTTGGAGAGGTTTTTGCTGTAGGGCACATGCACTTGCCAGAAAGACAGAGAGAGACAGAGAGATAGAAAGCGAGAAATCACCCTCATGGGGGTGGGGGGGGGTGGGGTGGCCATGCCGCAATCCCTTCTCTGTTCTTCTCTTGGGCATGCACACACATGTGCCTGGCATGAGTTTAAGCCACCAAGTCTGGGACTGGAACCGTGGTCAACTACATGGGAGTCCAGCGACATAGCCATTATGCTAACTGCTGGTCCCAAAAAGCTCACTTTTAATAGTGTGAACTTTACAATAAGCACATTGTAAAGGTTTTCCCAATAAAATGTTCTTTGAAACGGTAGAGAAAATTATTTCTACTGTAAAAATTCTGCCTGTTAAGCAAACCCCTTGGCTAATCATTGGTTTTGTTTTGTTTTGGAGAGGTTTTTGCTATAGGGCGTTTGCGCTTGCCAGAAAGACAGAGACAGAAAGCGAGAAATCACCCCCCAAGGGGGATGACCACACCGCAGTCCCTTCTCCATTCTCCTTTCGGAATCTTGGGCACAGATGCACACGCACCTGGCCTGAGTTTAAGCTACCGGGTCCGAGACTCCAACTGCTGTCGACTACATGGGAGTCCAGCGACATAGCCATTACGCTAACTGCTGGTCCCGGCTAATCATTGTTGATAGGTATATATCTAGTTAAATCTTTTTTGTTTGTACCTACTTTTAAAAATAGAATGATAGCAACTTTGCAATTTATATCATGAGGATTCTCAAATATCAGGACAAGTAGATGTCTCAATTCTTGTTAATGCCTGTTTAATGTACCATAGTGGGTCTACCATAAGTTAAAACATACTTTTGTAGATAAACTTTTCATCCCATTTTTTGCTATTGTGAATAATGGAGTAATGATTATCCTTAAACGTTCTTGCTCATCAAATACACACTTAGGCAGTGAGATGACTACTCAGTTAAATATGCTATTGGGTCGTCAGAAGCCAGGATACATTTTTGCATAGATAAATGTCATGACTTCTGATGACTCAATAGATAACAAGAATGCAATGAGTCTCTGGTTATTAGTATTTTTTAGTTATCAGTATATACATGGAGAAAGATATGGACTTATGTCATTTATTTAAAGCCACCTGGTAAATTCAATTAAGACATTTTACTGAAAATTTTCAAAGTGTTATTATATATGGAAAACAGTACTAATTGCCTAAAAAAGACCACTGTATTCCTCTTTTTTCCTGTTTTTATCTAGTAGT